GATTTTTATACTTCATCATTAGGCCAGTTTTTATGTAGGTTGTTCATTTACTTTTTAGATCTTCTGGTTTTTTTTTTATATTTTCTACTTAAGTGCCTTTCCTTACTAGTATTTTTGTTTAGAGTATTTCGCTTACTCAGTGCTATATGCCATTGGAATCGTCATATGTTGGTGCTATTACTAAGATCGTCGAAAATCAGTGCTTCTATTCGTATGCTGGTGTCATCGTACATAAGTTGGTACTTTCATTCATATAGTGATATCATTGTATATTTGGCATTGTTGGTATTGCCATTATTTTGGTCTACTAATTTTCAAGAAGTTTTTAGTAAAATTTTAGTTAATTACACCAAATTAACTGACGAAAAAAAGTGGAGAATCAAAGAATTATCTGATGCTATAAATATTAGTAGGCAATTAAAAGAAGGGGAAGCAGAAAATATTTAGCGAAATATATAAAGAGGTAGATAAGGAAGATGAACAAAACAGTATAATTGCTTCTGTTGTCCCTTTAAAAAGACTCTTTGTCATTCGCTATTGCTAATATTTATAGGCATTATTATTATTTTTTTTTTAGATTGCGTCGTTTCATTTAATTTGTTCTTACTAACTGCTGCTTGTTCCATTTTAGTCGTTATCATTTTGCCCTCTCTAAGTTGGTGTCGTTAATTTTGAGTTGTTCTTTAGAGTTGTCACTTTAGTGTAGTTATTACCGGAGTCAATGTTCTACTACCATTCTGGTACCTTCATGAATAGAGTATGTTGAAGGCAGTGTAGTCTAATGCAAAAGTAGAATCTTTTCATTTTTGTAGAAGTTTTATTGCCTTGGTGGGTTAGAATCGTTGGTTTTTTTAGATAGTTGGACACTAGAGTAAGATTAGTGGATTCCATATTATTTCACCAACAATCCCTTCTTAGATACCACATTTCACCAACAATTTACCGAAGCTCATTTCATCAACAAGGTTTTTTTTACAAATTACGCTAACTTTAACTCTAATTCTAGCCTAATTCTAATAATTTTACTTTGTCTGTAAATGAGCTTCGGTAAAATGAACTTGTCAGTGAATAATTGTTAGTGATATGTGGTATCTATGAAGTGATTGTTGATGAAATAATATGGATCCTTTTGTGGTTGACTATTTCACAGACATAAAAATTTTCTAGCAAATCTAAAATGCTATTAATTTAAACAAACATCAAAAAATTGTAATAAAATTATCATCCATCACACTCTATGTATTTTTACTAATCATTTTTTCATGTGAAGAATTAGACCCAACTTATATTCTTAATTTATTTTGATTACCAATTTATTTGAGTTTCATGGCTATGGGAGAAATCTAATTTTTCTTCAAAGTATATAAAGACCAGTGATTTGAAAATTTTTATAAGAGCCCAAAGGGCTCTTATATAACCAAAAATTTACTTCTTATTCCTGCTATTGTGAAAAATAAGTAGTATTTATTGATTTAATTGGTGATGATTGTAATAATAGATGTATTTAAAATAAGCTATTATATTTATATTACACTAAGATTATAAACTTTTCATAAAGTTACAGTATTTAGATTAATTTAACTAGCAATTATAACTATTAAAGTATTTGAAAAACAATGTATATACTTCTTATTAGTTTTATTAGTTTATTGTTTATATTAATTTGGTCGATAAACAGTTTTTTATTCAAGTTAAATTAATTTATTAATCAATAATTATATATCTATTATTAATTTCTTATTCATGCTGATTTTATAATTCTTACAACTTGATTTTCTAAAAATTTATTAGCTATTTATATAATATATCTATATATATAGAATATAATAGATTAAAAAACTTTTAATTTAAAAAATTATATAATTTTTGTACTTGTTTAAAATTTTATTTATTATTAATAAAAATATATTAATTATATTAATTGATGATCCTCCAGTCAACTGAAGAATGATCATAGTAAAATGTGACTCAGATTACTATATAAATTTACTATA